CATACAATACCATGATAACTAATTATTTGTAAATAGTTACTAGCTAATACTGACTATAAAATTAATAAGTATTGTATCTCGTAAACATGGAAAAAAAATATTTAGAAAAATAATTATAAAAAATTATGGATTATTATATAGTAAAGACATAACAAAAGTTAATAAATAAATACCTTTTAAATGAAAGATTTATTTAAAATTAACTATCATAACAGTCTTAGTGGATAACGTGCAATAATTTTAATTTTAATTATGATATAAAATACTCTCAACTTAATGATTTATGATTTAAAAAGGTAATTTTTAATAGTCAACGATTTATTAAGCAAATTTGAGAATTTAGAAGGTTAGTTACATAGAATTGCATAAAGTTCTATAAGGCGAGCCCAGTACGCTGGGCGTTGGGCGTGTTCAGGGCGTAAGCCCTGATGGCCGAGGCGTAAGTCTCACGGAACTAAGCCCCACACATAAGCCCAGGGGCATTTTACGAGTGCTTCGCCCCGGGGCGAGTCCCAATTCTGCCTTTTAAAACAGAGGGTGGGATAAGGATAATAATTTTGGAATAAAGTTTGGCATTAACTTTATTGTATGTTTGGTTTGTGATATTAATTAATCTGGGGATAACTTTTACACCAAATTGTAAGATTAGTTATCCTATATAGAAGATGCGATAACATGGTATATCCCACCATTATACCAAACGACTCCGAGGCTATCAGTGGAAGGCACTTGTAAATACTTTCTTTTCTTCGTTTGTGATAAAACAGATTCTGCATTTGGCTCGAAAATTTATTTCATAGTGAGAAAATCATTTTCATCTTTTGCATTTATTTTCCTAAAACCGAGTAATAAGGGAATAGGAAACTAATTCTCTTTTCCATTTTCATTTCATTTTCATTTTCATGTCATTTTATTCTTCAGACTATATTTGTTTCTTTTTATTTTCTCTAGAAGTTTTAAGTCATTTATCCTTAGCATTACCTCTAGGTAGGGGTGTATATAGGTCAGGTTGGTTAAGATTTTTTAATTACCAAACCAAACCAATAGTGTCAGTGATAGAAATTAAGGGTCCACCAAGCTATATAGAAAACCAAGTTCTCTATTAGTTCCCACAGAACACACGCACACTGCAGTAAGTAAATGACACAATGGAGTTTTACTTGGAAAACTCCCAGCTCACGGGATTAAAACCACGACCTACTCTTGTAGGATTTCAACTTCACTACTGAGCAAACTTCAGATTACAACCTATTGTAACCTAGGAATTAACCTCTTAATCCCTCACTAACTTGTAACAACTCTATTACAAGCCACTTTGTAATAACTCTATTACAAAGCTTTACAACTCGACTAACACTAGCCAATACACAAACACAAAGGTTTATGATTTACAAGAGTTTCCAACACAATGCTTCTAACTAAGCTAAGTAGGTATTACAAGTACTTTAACAAAGGTGCAACAGAACTAAGGACATGTAATGACTCAATATAGGAAACTGATCCTTCGTATATTGTTCTTTGTTCTTGATGCCCTTGAGAATCACTTGCAAGATTGACACAGACTTGAGAGAATGCTAGATCGATTCTTGAATGTCCAAGTATTTTGTTTTACCTTTGCTTGATGTTTGTAACATCACTTGAATGATGCAAGTATGTTAGGCAAAGGGCATTCCCCATAAAGTTGATTGTTGTACTATTTTTGCACTGTTGCGTGTGCAGGCAGCAACTTTACAGCTGTGGAGAGTTGACTTGTACAATCACCAAGGGAACTGGTAGCCATCTGTTCCCTCTGTTGTTCCTTTGACTCTGAAGAGTTGAACCACGTCCGCGACTTAATACTTGTTGATCTTAAGTACTTGAGGATGTGTAACGAGTTCCTTATCTGGTTCTTAACATTAAGTTTGTTAGATCATCAAAACATAACAAAGATACATATAACCTATCAATTTTTTCCTTTTTTATGATGACAAACTTATAATTGATGTTCCCCCTGAGAACCAGAATATCATACGCATATCCTGTATTCCCCCTGAATCTGTTCCCCCTCAATTATTTTCCCCATTTTGGCATCATTAAAAGATTAGTAGCAAGCAATAAGCAAAAGAAGTCTATCTTGGTTAAGGTATGCCATATGTATGCACACAATCATGACTAAAAGCAGAGCAGAAGAGAAAGGCATACACAACAAAAGGATGAAACTTTCATTAATCTTTGGAAATTAAGTAGAGAGCAGTTCTATTGTTACCAAAACATCCACAAAACAATAACAACAAAAAGGTTTCAGTCATAAACATCATTAGGACTAAAAAAGAGGACAGACACTAGGAACTTGACACTGGGAAGGGAATAATTTTTAGGGAGCACTGGAAGGAGAAGGCCCAGATAAAGAGGCAAGGGTTCTAAGAAAGATGTCCATTCGAGCATTCACTGACACTTGCTCGTTGAGCAATCTCTCCTTCAGGTCCTCAATATGTTTTCTGAGGTCAGCATTTTCTTTTGTCAGACGAGCAACCTCTATGCTTTGAGAGCTGCTGGAACCAGGTGCCTCCTGAACTGACTTAGCTGACCTTCGAGAATGGCATTCCTTGCCTTCAACTTCCTTTTCTCTTCAGTTGCACTGTTCTGAGCGTTGATCAGATGAGAGATAGTAGAATAGTTGCCAACCCATCCACTTCTGTAAATGCACTCACACACTTCTAGGGTGGTCTTGGAGAAGGTTTGCTTGCGAGTTCCCACCTTAGCTTTTCCCAAAGGGACTTTGAAAAATTCAAAAACTTTAGTGAGGAGAAACCCGTAAGGCAGCCCATGATTACCATTCTTGAAATGTGTCACCTTCTTCATGTGTTCTATCATAAGACCAGGCAGATTTATAGTGGTGTATCCATTCAGTGCTTCCATGAGAACCAGGTCCGCTTGTGAAGTAATGGACCATCTTTCTGCGCATGGGAGCAGAACTTTGTTCACCAATTCAAACAACAATTGGTACACTGTAAGGAGGGCCTTCTTGTGTACCCGTTCCCCTTGCTGTATTGCCTTATCCTTCACGACAGCATTTCTGAAGTTAGAATAGCAAGTTCCCTTAATGGTGGACATTCCCTCAGTAGGCACACCCAAAATGGTTCCTAGTACAGTAGTGTCCATCACAAAATCAATACCATTTACTTTAAGACAAATATTATCATCCTCAACTGTGAAGAAGTCGGCATAGAAACTGCGCACCTCTGCCTCATAAACTTTGGGACTGTCACTAGTTAACAAATGTGTCCACTGTTGGTATTCACAGATGACAGCCAGTTGGCGCATTCCTGACATATCAAGAATATCAGGGGCAAATGTGCGTCCCTAAAGCACCTTCTGATTTCTCAAATTCTCCCTTTCCTCATCCCTCACCACATTCACTCTGGCCTTTTTAGAGGAACCAGGTTCCTCATTAGCACCAGCCTTTCGCTTCACTGATTTTCTTACACTCTTT